TTTTTCTTTTTTTTTTTTTTTTTGCGATCTACTACACTTTGTCATTCACATCTTCTTGCGAATTATGAGAAATTGTATCCGGTATTGAGTGGATGATGGGGATGTTCGAACTACTTGACAAAATCGTTGAGAAAAGTAGGATGAAGGATCATTGTAGCATTGATGAACCGGTTCTTGTGGTCACTACTACATCCACGATAATTATTACCAAACAACAACAGCAGCAATATTCCTGCATTGTCAATCAACTAAACCAATAGGATAGCAACATATTGATATTTTGGTTAAAATGCGAGCAAAAGATTAGTTGATAATAATATGTTGCTGCGTAAAGATTGAAAATCTGAAAAGAAAATGAAAGAAGAAGAAAGGAAGTTTTATAAAATTTTACAAAAATTATAGCTTAAATTGGTGAAATTTATAATAAAATCTTCCCACTAAAATATGCAATAAATGATAGTACTATTATCATTATTACTATCACTATCACTTTTATTATTATTCTCACTATCACATCTTTTGTTGTTCTCATCATCATCATAAACTATCCTGATTATTTCATTCATTCATGCAATATCATAGTATCACCAATGCTCATTACTACTCACTACTACAATTATTAGCATAAAGTTGTTGCAGCTGTAATAAACATTTCATTCATTTCTTCCTGCAAAAATTATATATATATATATGTGTATGTGTGGTATGTATATGTCAGAATATTTCAATTAATGGCAATAGAATGAATAAGGAAGAGAGAAAGGAAAAAAAAAAAAGGAAAAAGTGCAATGCTATAAACAGGGACAAGAGCAAAGCCTGGATTAGATAAAGTAGTGTTAGCTAACAAGCTAGCTAGCAAGCATGATGTTGTCACTGAAACTTAATATTGTCAATATAAGCATTCTCCTCTGACACTTCCACCTGCTACATATTTATTTTAATCCTTATTGGTTTCAATCATTAGATTTTTCTCTTTTTACTATCTCTCTCTCCTTCTCATTTGCCTTAGTTGTAACAAATCCTTATCTATTTTTTTTTTTTTTTGCTTTATTGATAATGATTCTTTTCATGTTTATCGTTTATCAATAAATTATGGAATAATAAACGATATTTATTTCAGCTATTTACTGGTGTTATTAATGATTTATATCATTGTGATAACAAATTTAACTCGAATCATAGTTAACATGCTAGATAGCGCTAAACAATAAAACAATAAATCGATGCCGCTATTCCGGAAAGATAGAAAGGAATCGGAGGAACAATTCAGTATTCGTGATCTTTACGAATTCAAGGACATCTTAGGTACCGGTGCTTTCTCCAAGGTGTGCCCTTTCTCTGCTAATTCATTTTTTTTCATTCTTCTCTTCTTTTCTTTTNTTCTCTCTCTCTCTCT